AGTTATGGATTCAATGAAATATGTTATTAAAATTAATTGTTAACTTTGATTTAGATTAAAATTTAGATTTCAATCGATACCAAACATGACTTTATATAAAAAAAAAAAACCTCAAAAGTTGGGGGCTCATGAACCCCATTCCTCCGGGTCCACTCTAATTCGATTTTGATTTAAATTAAAGTCAACGATTAATTTTAATTATATATTTTATAAGAATCATTATTTTTTAACCATACATTTCACCAATTTTTGTTAAAGTCAACTAAAAATCTAATCTTAACTCGTACCAAGCAAGAGCTCTATTTTTCTAATATTTTAGTACACGCTTTAGTGTAAATTATTGTAAAACTCCACGTAATTTTATGTCATCAAATTGCTACTTGTGGGCCCGTGGCTGCGGACTACGAGGATTAGCTTATGGCAGTTTGTCACGAGAAGCATAGGATAATCTTTTATGTTTTCGGATCAAAACGATATGAAGGCTCATTTTTCTCTAAAAAAGTAGTGCTTGCTACATTAAGCCCTTGTCTGGACGTCATTTTTTTTGCAAAAAATGTATTGGGTCACATCACATGACCCATCAATACAATGCAATTCTTGATTTATTAAAAATATTTATGCTAAACTTCCAGTTATATCCCTGTTTTGACATTTGTGCATTTGCGGAGAGGAAGGCAAAATTGGAAAGAAATGGAAAAGCAATGTTGCGTTTAGTAACAAGTCTGAGTAAGATATTATTATTTGAGACAATAACTTTTCAACCCACAACAGTTTAGGGATGCCAAAAAAATTCGATACTCGCATCGTCCCAAACGAGGCGAAAAATATTCATTTACTAAATATATTTGAATAATTTAACTTTTAAAAATAAATCATAAATTAAAAATTATATTATAATCTCACTTTAATGAATGTGGGCAATAAACTGAATTATCAAAATAAAAAAAAATAAAAAAAGGAACGGTGTAGTAAATTGGGCAAGGCCCCTGCCCCACCTTAAAAGGGTAATGGGGCGAGGACGGGACGGGACGGGACGGGATGGGATGGGACGGGACGAGAAATTGTCGGCATGGTGGGACGGGGCGGGGGTGGTTGCCCCAACCCGCCCCCTTGAGTCTTGACATCCCTACAACAGTCATTTTTTGTAAAAATAAAGAAGATATTGCACCCAAAAAAGCTGTGCCAGGACATCTTTTATGTTAAGAAAAGATCACTTGCAAGAGAAAACATATTTTAGAAAAAAAAAAAAAAAAGACAAAATTGTAACCAATTCTTAAGTGAAATCTAGTCGGCCTAACTCTACTAGGAAGAGATCTCTACATTTTCTCAAACAAAATAGGGGAAAAAAAATATCAAGATTAGGAGCTTGGTATCAATAAATATATATGGTTGAAGTTTATTCCTACAGTTTCTGCAGTATAATTTCCTCATTCGAACAATCTGAAAATACTTACATTTGCATATTATCGGAATGGATTTGAACAACGTAACAAAATGGTCAGCAGGGTCATAATTTTAATTCGAGCCTACTAATTTCATGATGTGTCTTTAAGAAAATTTGCTCCCTTCTAGTTACTTAAAAACAATAAGCAATCGACTTTCAGGATAAAACGATTTTCGTCATCTACAAAAGCAGCACAACAATTAGTAAGAGGTCCAACGAAAAAAACAAAATTGTAATATTTTTATTGTGGAAGAACAATATCATAATTTAAAGAGGCAAGTGAGATTAAAAACAAGAATATTTGCAATGAAAAATTGTGTAAGCAAGGCAGACTATTTAACAATGGTGATCAAAATTCAAAAACGGATAGACAGCTTTGTTCATACTAAAAAAATTCGCAGAAACAAGTCAAAGGTTGGCATTTATATTACCGTTAGAAATAATTTCACCATATGCCCATGATTAATTATAATTTGGCCCCAAAAATTAAATAAATTTTATCCAAAAGCATATATGTAAGAATGGTTGCAACAACACCCATACATGTGTCGTGTCAAGCTGGATATATATTTCTCCATTCCCAAAACTATTAGTATCCCTCGGGACTCAAGCTAAAATAGTCAAACTTCCATCACATAAAACAAACAATTTTTCCTAAGATTTTCCGTATGGGATAAGAGCTCAACAGTTTCCAATCAAACTCTTCAATTTTCCAAGTGGGTAACTTAAACAATAAATATTTCATTTAATTCTAAATAATTTTCGATAAATAAATATATCACGTTAATATGCTTCGTTAGGTTAATTTTGGAGTAGTATGGGTCCCACTTAAATCTGAACTGAAAATTGACCTATTTCACTTTATTTGTACACCGTTTACAATAATTCCAACAATTGTTTTAATACAATAATAATTTTGGATACATTTGGTACATAGCATAAGTAGGCGCACTCGACGTAATTTTTCCATTACCACACATAATTTTCATGAAAGATGAGACTGACAAATTATATTTCCACTTTGTTTTACTAAAGTTATCGTGTTTAACAGGTTGTAGATTGATATTTTTTTTTATTTTTTATTTTCAAATATTGAATAAAGGAAGACAAACATCAGAACAACTATTGTCATATATTATGCATAAAATCCAACAAGAGGAATAGATTTTCTATATATGGCACAGAATGTCGATACATTCCTGATTTATTCATCAAACATAAATATCAAACAGTTCCTTTATTAAAAAGTTCGTAGCTGCTGAAAAGGATTCTCCATCCACAATGCTAAGAAGAACTCCACCTGCACAACCTTGGAGTTTTCATCCAACTGTTTTAGCACATCAAGGAACGGGTTTAGTACTTAGTAGTCGACAAAACAATGCAATAATATTAATTCACCTTACCAAACAAGGCAAAAAATGTGTAGTATGCAATGCTAGACTAGATACTAAAATAGATTTTCTCTCCAATTCATCGAATCAAGCAAAACCGAAACAAATTTAGCATGTTGTATTGGATTATAAGACAATAAAATAGACAAGATTTTAACTTTTTTTTTCATCCTTAATACTATCCAACAAGTCCTCGAAACCGTATAAATGTTAAACAGCATTGCGCTCGGCAGTAAAAAATATTTTCTTCGTGGATGCTGTCAAGTGGAGTTACCTCAGTGAAGAAGTTAAAACGATATTAGTTAAAGATGAAGATCAAGTGGAGTTACCTCAAAAATGGCCATCCCAAAAAATTCCACTTTTTCTCCAGTAGGAGCATGCCCTTTAAAAGGGCCCTCCATGAAACCCCAATGCCTAAATTTGTACACAGTTTTAGGAGGTCCTGAATACACTTCAAGAATCTCCACAGCAAATCCACGTGGGAATGTTGTTTTGAAAAGTGTTTGTGATGAATCAGCTGTTTCCTCCTCAGGATCATAGAACCTCAAAGATGGCGGCAAGGATGTCTGAAGAAACACATTGTAGCTTCCCCCAACCTTAACTATTTCTTCCAATGTCAAAAATTTTCTACCTGTTTAGGATGTTACAGCAAAGACATTGTTAAATGCGTTTCCTTGACAAAATCTCTCTCTACCGGAAATTTATATGTTAGTCACAAGTCACATCCAGACGTGACTTAACTAATTTGAGGGCCCCTAAGGGAGCCTTTTAGAAGAAGAAAACAGAGAGGCAGTAAACTACATTGGAAGTACATAAATTTTGAGGGCCTCACAGACGAAGCTTTTTTGAGATTACAATTTAGTCAAATTTCATTTTTAAGCACACAGTTCGTCGGACGCATAACGTTTATTCACTTTTAACTTACATTTCTTGGAACCCACCAGCTTATAATTTCTAAAAGCACTGTGCATAATGTCAACTGGCTTCACTTGCCTAGGGGTTAATTTGGCTTTAACCAGACCAAGTTTTCGTTCTTTTTTTAATCTAAATGAGCATTGTTTGATAAAAATGTCATGAGAATGATGCCTTTCTATTCTATATATATATATATGCGTACTTGACCCATTCACGAGTTTAATAGTGCTTTGGCCCTAGTGACACCAGGATGGACCTCCCTCCCTAACGTGCACTTAGCACGTCATTTTTTTGGAAAAACATTGTTTTAAATAATGATATTTTGGACATTGTAGTTAAAAGGTATGGAAAATTTTTGAATTTACGTATAGAATATTTTATTCCGTGAATGTGAGGTAGAAAAAAGAGTTTTGAAAGAATGAAAGAGGGACTTAATTGTTCTCACGCTAGTGGCTCTAAAGAAAACTTACCATTGACACCAAGTTTGAATTTCTTTGCATCAAGGGTCTTGTACTGATTTGGATCTGCCTTGTTTACCAGTTCCATTTCCCATGTCTTCACAAGCCTCTGTACTTTCTCTTCAGGCGATCCTTCGGGCCATATCTACCATATACATATCCATTGGTGTTAAAATTAGTACAAATTCTGAAAAAAATAAAACAGAAAGTTAACCAAAAGGGTTTTGCATGATCGATGTATAGAAACAGATTATCTATTTTCATATTGAAAAATCAGCTTTTTCCACGAATCATGCGTATAACTAAAGAGTCAACTTACATTAGAAACTAATATTTCAAGGTAATAAATGGAAAATAAAGGTCGAAAATCACATACGTTAGTTAACCAAAAGGGTTTCGCATGATCGATGTATAGAAACAGATTATCTATTTTCATATTGAAAAACCAGCTTTTTCCACGAATCATGCGTATTACTACAGAGTCAACTTGCATCAGAAACTAATATTTATAGGTAATAAACCGAAAATAAAGGTCGAAAACTGCATACATTAGTTCTCCCTTCTTCAAAGAGCTTATTTACAACATCATAGTTTGGAGGACCAAAATTCCATTTGGTGTTCTTGATATCCTCTTCAGTCAAATAATCCCTGTACTTGTCTCCAGTTGCAGCAGAAGTTGCCATAGTTTCACTGAATTTAGAAGTTCTTGAAACTGAAACTTTAAGCTTGATGAGAATGGACTCTCGTTGATTGATTCTTATATAGCAAAAATTTGTCACTGGTAAACAAAATAATGATAAAAAAAAAAATTCTAACTCATCTAATCCATTTATACAATAGCACCTCACCAAATAGGATTTGTTCTATTCTTCTTGACTTTTCCTTTATCTATTGTCATTAGTTGAGGAGCAATGTGTTTGGCACGGGACCCCGTACTATCGTCATTTCTCACCCTCTTCTTTGCCCATAAATAAAAAGTGTGACACCAAAATGGGAATCAAAAGGTGAGAGATAAGATTATTATATCCATTCCGCCGGCCACCCTTTACCTATCATTATTAAACCCACTATTTATAGCTTGTTTGGTAGGAATTTTTCGAGAAAGAATTGATTTTGAATAATGATATGATGGAAAATGTATGGTTGAAAAAAAAGAAAAAATCATTGATGTGATGAAAAATATTATTATATTGAAGAATGTGTGGTTGAAAATGAAAATTGATTTACTGTAGCAAAATTAGAATCCCTACCAAACAAGCCATTGAAAGCGTAGCTCAACATACGCCAAATAAGGTGACTCCAAATTGAATTTTTTTTTTCCTAAAAACCACACTAGCTAATAAAACCAATAAGGTAGATTGTGACCTCTAAAAGAGCATTAAGCAAATAATTGAGAGAACCGCAAATTTAGTCCATGTTTGGGTTCCATTAAAATGAGATTACGAAAAAAATATGTGTTTTGAAATTGTGATATTTTTTAAGAATGTATGATTAAAAAATAAGGAAAAATTTGGATTTATTTGTAATGTTATTTTATGAGTGAATGTGATTAAAAATAAATTTTGGAAAAAAAAAAAATGGAACCCAAACAGATACGTAATAATTTTTTAGTATTTTATGATTGATATATGTGTGTATAAATTGCTTATAAACTTAGATATTGTATAGAGAGCTTTATAGGAATATATAAGAGTCGACTAAAAAAATAATGGTTCCAATCCAACAAAATAATCTCCAACTCAACATGAAAACCGACGAGTTGAAGTTAAAAACTATTTTCCCTTTTCTAATTAAGGACCTGTTTGATGTGGATTATTGATAATTAGATTTTTGAAAAGTGAATTTTTTGGAAAATAAGTCGTTAGAAAGTAGAAAATTTATGTGTCCATATGTAGAGTTATTTTATTGAGAAATATGCAGTTAAAATGAGTTTTAAGGAAAAAATAATACCATTAGCAGAAGTCATACAATTATGCTCTAATTCGATTTTGATTTAAGTCAAAGTTAATAATTAATTTTAATTATATATTTATAAGAATGATTACTTTTTAAATATAGATTTTATCAATTTTTGTTAAAATCTACTAAAAATTTAGTCTTTAACTCATACCAAGCAAGAGCTCTAATTTTCTAATATTTTAGTACACGCTCTCGTGTAAATTATTGTTAAACTCCACGTAATTTTATGTCATCAACTTGCTACTTGTGGGCCCGCGGCTGCGGATTTCGAGGATTTGCACATTCTGCCAATCGAGTCAAAAGACCTGCCCCTCTCGGACCTCTCCCCAATTTTGTTATAATTTTCTATAGCATGGCCAGTACGATGTCATTTTAATCCAACGTTCATTTTAATAATGTCATTTTTTTTAGGTAATTATCAAGAATATTTTAGCTTTAGGCAGTTGGTCTCGAGAAGCATAGGATACCCCTTATGTTTTCGGATCAAAACGATATGAAGGCTTGTTTTTCTCTATAATAGTGCTTGCTACATTAAGCACTCGTCTGGACATCATTTTCTCACAAAAAAAATGTATTCTTGGGTCACATCACATGGCCCACCAATACAATGCAATCCCTTATTTCTTAAAGATGTTCATGCTCAACCTCCCGTTATACCCTTGTTTTGACGTGTGTGCATTTGTGGAGAAGGCAAAATTGGAAAGAAAAGGAAAAATCATGTTGCGTACAGTAACTTTTGAACCTACAATAGTCATATTTTTTCTAAAAGTAAAGAAGATATTGCGTCCAAACAAGCTCTAAGTGCCTGGACATCTTTTATGTTAAGAAAAGATCACTTGCAAGACAAGACGTAGTTTAGAAAAAAAAAATTTGAATTCAAATATTTTAAAAATAGATAACAAAAAAAAGACGAAATTGTAATCAATTCTTAAGTGAAATCTAGTCGGCCTAACTCTACTAGGAAGAGGTCTCTACATTTTTTTAAATAAAATAGAAAAAAATTTATCAAGATTAGGAGCTTGGTATCAATAAATATATGTGGTTGGAGTTTATTCCTACAGTTTCTGCAGTATAATTTCCTCATTTGAACAATTCGAAGATACTTACATTTGCAAATTATCGCTATGGATTTGAACACCGTAACAGCAGGGTCAGAATTTTAATTCAAGTCGAAGATAAATTTTCTCTTCTAGTTACTTAAAAACAATAAGCAATCGACTTTCAGGATAAAATGATTTTCGTCTCCTACGAAAGAGCACAACAATTAGTAAGAGTTCCAATGAAAAAAACAAAATTATAATATTTTTATTCTCGTAGAGCAATATCATAATTTAAAGAGGGAAGTGAGATTAAAAACAAGAATATTTGCAATGAAAAATTGAGTAAATTTTTTAACTGCAAGGCGGACTATTTATAGACCTATTTGTGGTAATTTAAACACTTATAAGCCTTTCCAAAACAATGGTGATTGTTCAAAAATCATTCAAGAACGAATAGACAGCTTTGTTCAATCTGAAAATATGTGTTTATCTTTGGTTAACAGAAGTCTACTATGTCGGTCAATGACAAAAAATTTCGCAGAAACAAGTCAAAGGCTGGCATTTATATTACTGTTAGAATAATTTTACCATGTGCCCATGATTATAATTTGGCCCCAAAATTTAAATAAATTTTGTCCAAAAGCATATATGTAATAGGCTCGACTAATGAAGATTGAATAAGATAATTTATTTAGTTACTATTTAATCTTGTTTATTCAAATTTAGTATAATAAAAAATTGGTTAACTTTAATCTTTGTTGACAAGTTGTCACAAACCGACCAATTATGCATAAAATCCAACAAAAGAAATATAAATGCAGCAATTAATTTGAAAATCCTTAGAGGAATACATTTTCTGTTTATGGCACAGAATGTCAATACATTCCTGATTTATTCATCAAACATAATTAACACACAGTTCCTTCATTAAAAAGTTCATAGCTGCTGAAAAGGATTCTTCTTCCGCAATGCTATCCCATTAGCTAGACATGAAAGGGCAGACAGACAGCGTCGCCACAGTGGAACCATCCGAGGTTTTTCCCATAAACAGACACGCCAACAGTTCACCCCGGTCACAGAAGAACTCAACCTGCACGACCTTG